CGGAGGCCGCTAGGGCGGCGGATCGGGGCCGCGAAGGCGGCGGATCGGGGCCGCGAGGGCGGCGGAGTAGGGGCCGCGAGCGCGGCGGAGAAGGGGCCGCGAGGGCGGCGGGTCGGGGCCGCGAGGGCGGCGAATCGGGGCCGCGAGGGCGGCGGAGTAGGGGCCGCGAGGGCGGCGGATCGGGGCCGCGAAGGGCGGCGGATCGGGGCCGCGAGGGCGGCGGAGCGGGGCCGCGAGGGCGGCGGATCGGGGCCGCGAAGGGCGGCGGATCGGGGCCGCGAGGGCGGCGGAGTGGGGCCGTGAGGGCGGCGGATAGGGGCCGCGAGCGCGGCGGAGAAGGGGCCGCGAGGGCGGCGGATCGGGGCCGCGAAGGGCGGCGGATCGGGGCCGCGAGGGCGGCGGATCGGGGCCGCGAGGGCGGCGGAGTAGGGGCCGCGAAGGGCGGCGGATAGAGCCGCGAGGGCGGCTCGAAGGGGCCGCGAGGGCGGCGCTAAGGGGCCGCTAGGGCGGCGCGAGAGAGGGGAGCGCGACTCGGGCAGGGGCTGAGTGCGCTCCGGGCAGGAAAAAAAAAAACGGTGGGCCCTAGGAACAGTTCCCACAGGGGAACCTGCTCGATACCATGAGAAGAAACAAGGAATGAATGAACTATGAATGAATTGGGTACAAGTACTAAACCCTAATTGGGTTGTACCCCTTATGGGCTACCCCACTATAGCCTACACAATATGCATGAGCTATAATGTTCTGACATTCAATGGGGTAGAGCACATCTGGCAATTCATGATGGGGCGGGCGAGAGCATAGACTACTCATGGGCCGGGGAAACAGGTCACTCACCTCAACAGGGTAGGTAGAGTAGGCCTTGCACGGGTCAGCCTGGCTAGTTGTCGTCCCAGCCGCCTCGTTAACGATCCATTGCTGCTGTTCAGGCGTGCGCGGCGTGTTCCGTGCCTTGACAGCACTCAGATGCTCCTGTTGTAGCACGGGGGTGAGGGATGGGATAGAAAAGGTAAGGGTGGTAGCTATGTGGGTTCTATCAGGCGACCCACAAACGAGAATGTATTTGAATGCGTGCAGATGGCATGTGACCTCACCTTTGCAGCATAGCAGATGCTGCACGGCATCCGCGATCCATGCGAGAGTGTGCAACTGATCTTGCCGCTCTCGGGGTAGTCGCACACCCAGGCGTACAGCAGGGGCCGCACGGTTTGCCAATCACCGAAAGGGTCCCTGAGACGGAACCCGCTGCAAGGAACAGGTAGAGGGGCAACAGGAATTCGGGTTACGGCTTTTAGGGAGGAACGACGAGGGGCAAAGGGCCATGCTACATACAGAGAGGGTTTGCATACCATGCAGGTGGTGAGATGATGTCTTAGCAAGATGCAAACCGAGTACAGACCTGGCAATGCCATCAAGAAGCGGCTGCAGCACGGTGATGACGCAACGCTGGAAGAGCATCACCTTCTCCACGGCAGACATTGCAGACGGGGGGATAGGAAGGAGGGCAAGTAGTGTGTGCCCGGCTTTCCCCCATCGCTTGGCCTGGGAGATGTTGGCCAGCGTCATCATGAGCGGCCACGCCTTCTTCCGGCCGTTGATGCTCATGTGCGTCACATCCGAATACAAGATGATCCCCCCCACAACTTCGGACCAACCGAAGTGTTCCTGCAGTGCACGACAAAGCGGCAACGGACACACGGTTTAGGGCTCAAGATGCTCTTGACAGATCAGTGCAGCGATGGAGGCATGAGGAAGGATTGGGTTTGGGGTGGCAACGTGGTCTTTCCTTACCTGAGCATCGTTCCACCACGTTCCTGTTTCAGGCGTGGTATAGCGACGGCTGCCTGCGTCAGGGTCCTCATCAACACGCGCCTTGAGCTTGAAGCCGGGCGCGTTGTTGGGATATCCAAACATTTCAGCGAATGCCTGGTGTACGGTGGCGAAGGCAGGTGAGAGGAGAGGCATGGTTAGTGGCGGTGAAGGTGGGTGTACGGTTAATACAAGGATAACTACGTACATGCAAACCCTGTGTGCCTCATCATCATTTCACGGCCTTGAATGCAAAGTCGGCTTACCTGGGCTGAGTTCTGAAAGAGCAAGCGCTGTGGTGGATGACCGTCAATCTCGAAGGTCGCCACCGACCATCCGCGATTGAGCCCTGCCAAACGCTCCATCTCGAACCGCTCCAGATCCTTACAGTTCCGGAGCTCCGAGATCACAAGAGGCGCAAGGCCGGGCTCTACGACTAGCTGAAGCAGGCCGTTGATGTCAACCTCGGCCATTCCCATTCCGCCATTCACGCGCCGAACGAAATGCAGCAGCTTCAACGCGAGCGGATTGAGGGGCGTGGCATTGCTCTGTCCGGAGATGATTGTTGGCGGCGCGGCATGACTCCCTTCGGGCCGGCTCTCAGGATGGTCACTCGTGTCAGCCGCAGGAGCTCCTGGTTGTGGTTGATGTTCATCTTCAGGAGGCCCCTCGTTCACGTCGTTGGGAGTTTCGTCAACGTGAGCTTCAGGCACGCGTGGAGGACCGCTCACACTGACAGCGTTGGATGCGTTAGATGCTGTAGGTGAACCGGGAGCGGCTGGAGCGTCCGACAGAATGTCGTGGACGAATAGCAGAGCGTGAAGACCGGCGGTCGGTGCAGATCGCGTCGGCCTTGCCACGGCGGATAGTCCTTGGCAAGGGGTCCGCCGTGACTTATGACCGCCATAAACTTGGGCGTTGGGGAACCATCTGTTGCAGAACTCGCAGACGACGCCTGGTAAAGAGCCCATGTGTTACGGATCCGTTGTAGAGTCGAGAAATCGCCTATGAAGCTACTAGCCGTGATGAAGCTTGTGAACGCATTAAGTACTCCGTTCAAGAAGCCTGTGACAGCTACACGATCATCGCCAATGCGCGCACTGTGGTGGGCGGCTTGTATCACTGCACGACTGGCACTTGACATTGGCGCTAATGTTTATGACTGGCTAACGATGTCGAGCCGCGTGGTCGTTACCAGGCACGATACAGACCGCCCACCTCACGGGCCGTCTTCACTACAAGGCGTGTCGCCCCCGTTTAGAGTGACCACGACGCGAGCAGAGGAGAATGCGGAGGATCTTAAGTCTCACGGTCGTGTGTGTGCGTCGCGAGCACGGTGAGAAGGACGTGCCTATTGAATCAAGAACTTGTGTTTAGGAACCGTGCGTGAGAGTCGAGGGGGATGAGGAAGAGCGGGAAGAGATCCGTTTGGATCTGTGATTGTGTCGCGAATCGATATAGGGGGGAAATCAGAATCACGTAGGTGAGCTCAAGAGGCTTCAAACAAACATGGAAATGCAAATGTACAATTACAACTTAACAAGACACTCAAGTCATTCATAACTAGTAAACATTCATATCCTTAGGACTGATGTTGAACAACCCTTACTTGATAACGATACGGGAAGTACCCAATAACTCCATGCCCTAACGTATGATTGTTGCGTGGAGCGAATACCTATAGCGTGTCTTCTCTCGAGGTGTAGTGTACCTCTACGCACCGTGCTGAATGAATATGCAAGAATGGATGACAATGTCGTACACTAACACAACGGTTTCAATGTCCATGCAATGTTGGATGACAATGCAACACCATACCACAACGGATTCACCATGTCGCGCAACCCGCAGGCCTGAACGCTGCATCGTCGCACAGTCTAACTATGGCTGTCGATAACGCATCTACGCTTGTGCGTTGGGCCTGTGCTTCATACCACTCCTTCTAAGCACCTTGTTTAATGTCTGTGCAAGAATGGATGCCAATGCAACACCATACCACAACGGATTCACCATGTCGCGCAACCCGCAGGCCTGAACGCTGCATCGTCGCACAGTCTAACCATGGCTGTCGATAACGCATCTACGCTTGTGCGTTGGGCCTGTGCTTCATACAACTCCTTCTAAGCACCTTGTTTAATGTCTGTGCAAGAATGGATGCCAATGCAACACCATACCACAACGGATTCACCATGTCGCGCAACCCGCAGGCCTGAACGCTGCATCGTCGCACAGTCTAACCATGGCTGTCGATAACGCATCTACGCTTGTGCGTTGGGCCTGTGCTTCATACCACTCCTTCTAAGCACCTTGTTTAATGTCTGTGCAAGAATGGATGACAATCCAACACCATACCACAACGGATTCACGTTTGTTACTATTGATAATCGTGTTAGAATGTCGTCCGCTAGCCCTAAACCATTGTGGCAAAGCCTAAAAGTGCACAGTACATCTGTCACAAGTAATAATTTTGGACGGTCGTTGTGTGTGTGACGTAAGAATCACCGATTAACTTACCCCAACCCCGTGGTAAACCATTTGCAACTTAGAGTTTGATGAAATGCATTGTTGTATGTTTGAATAAAATTTAGTGATTTATGCGTTGGCAACCGTGATTGGCCAACGCAACACAGCCATCAGCCAAGAGGTACTTCAGCCATTGAGCGGCTGAGATCGAGCGGTAGGTGGGTTTATGCTAGGGTGGCTACACGTACACCGTCCAATATAGCCTGATAGGGTTACATTACTCTCTCTAGTCTCGCAACCCACACCAACCACCCTCGTGTCCCACCCACCTGCTTCCGTCCGTCCCTGGACCAACACTTTGACGCTGCTCGTTGCCTTGACACACGCCTCTCCAGATCGGCCTTAGCGCGAAGCATAGTGGCTACTATGACAGATTTAGTTGAAGCGGCGGTTTTCGGAAACACATAACAGTGATAGACCGTCTACTGGCGCCTAATACACGGAGCATTTCGCATCTAAAGTGAGAAATCGAAATGGGCTCGCCTTAGCCATTCCCTTTTCTGCGGCCCGATTCCCCTTCGCGGAAGGCCAGATTGCCCTTTCCCGACGCCTGGTGCCCCTTCCCGCCGCCCCGTTTCCCTTTCCCGCCGCCACGAAACCCCATTCACGCTGCCCGAATCCCCTTCCCGCCGCGAGTTCGGCCTGTTTAGGGCGCCCGATTCCCCTTCATGCCTCCCGATTCTTCTTTCTCGCCGGCCGGTACGCTTTCCCGTCGCCCTACTCCCCTTCCCGTCGCCCGAATCACGTTCCCGCCGCCCGGTTCCCCTTTCCCGCCGCCCGAATCCCCTTCCGCGCCGCCTGAATCCCCTCTCCCGCCCATTGATTCCCGGCGGGCCTCCCGACCGCCGCGTCCCGTCGTCCGATTCCCCTTTCGCGCCGCTGGAATCCCGTTCCCGCCGCCCGCTTCCCCTTTCCCGCCGCCCGATGCGCCTTCCCGCCGCCCGATTCCCATTTCCCGCCGCCAGACTCCCCTTCCCGCCTCCCTATTCCCCTTTCCGTCGCCCGAATCCCCCTCCCTCCCTTCCCTCCCTTCTCTCCCGTCCCTCCCTTCTCTCCCTTCCCTCCCTTCTCTCCCTTCCCTACCTTCTCTCCTTTCCCTCCCTTCTGTCCCGTGCCTCCCTTCCCTCCCTTCTCTCCCTTCCCTCCCTTCGCTCCCTACCCTCAGTTCCTCCAATCCCTGTCTTCTCACCCGTCTCTCCCTTCCCTCCCTTTCTCCCTTCCCTCCCTTCCCTCCCTTCCCTCCCTTCTCTCCCTTCTCTCCCGTCCCTCGCTTCCCTCCTTCCCTCGCTTCCCTCCTTCCCTCGCTTCCCTCCCTTCCCTCCCTTCACTCCCTTCCCTGCCTTCCCTCCCTTCCCTCCCTTCCCTCCCTTCCCTCCCTTCCCTCCCTTCCCTCCCTTCCCTCCCTTCCCTCCCGACCCTCCCTTCCCTCCCTTATCTCCCTTCTCTCCCTTCCCTCCCTTCCCTCCCTTCCCTCCCTTCCCTCCCTTCCCTCCCTTCCCTCCCTTCCCTCCCGTCCCTCCCTTCCCTCCCTTATCTCCCTTCCCTCCCTTCCCTCCCGTCCCTCTCTTCCCTCCCTTCCCTCCCTTCCCTCCCTTCCCTCCCTTCCCTCCCTTCCCTCCCTTCCCTCCCTTCCCTCCCGTCCCTCCCTTCCCTCCCGTCCCTCCCTTCCCTCCCGTCCCTCCCTTCCCTCCCTTCCCTCCCTTCTCTCCATTTTCTCCCACCCCTCCCTTCCCGCCCTTCTCTCCCCCCCTACCACCCTTTTCTCCCTTCCATCTCATCCCGACTTCCAATCTTCCGTCTCTCCCTTCCCTCCCTTCTCTCCCGTCCATCCCTTCCCTCCTTCCCTCCCTTCTCTCCCTTCTCTCCCGTCCCTCCCTTCCCTCCCTTCTCTCCATTCTCACCATTTTCTCCCTTCTCTCCCTTCCCATTTGTTTCTCTCCTCCCCTACCACCCTTTACTCCCTTCCATCTCATCCCTCCTTGCAATCTCCCGTCTCTCCTGTCCCTGCCTTCCCTCCTTCCCTCCCTTCTCCCCCTTCCCTCCCTTCTCTCCCTTCCCTCCCTTCTCTCCCTTCCCTCCCTTCCCTCCCTTCACTCCTTTCCCTCCCTTCCCTCCCTTCCCTCCCTTCTCTCCCTGCTCTCCCTTTCCTCCTTCCCTCCCTTCTCTCCCTTCTCTCCCGTCCCTCCCTTCTCTCCCTTCCCTCCATTCTCTCCATTTTCTCCCTTCTCTCCCTTCCCGCCCTTCTCGGTCCCCCCTACCATGACGCTAGCATGGGGGGGAAAACGGGCCGAGCATGTAGGCATGGAAGTGAGGAGTCGGCCCGCATTCTGGGCACCCCCATGACTCACATGCCAAGGGCATGCACAGCAAGGCACCCAGCAGGCGACTTTTGAGTAAACTGGTGAAGTCACCTGTGCAGCGTGCAATGCACCCACCAGGCGGGGTTGGCAGCAAGGGGCAGACCAGCGAGGAGAGGAGCCAGAATGGCGAGACAGATGGCCGACTGGTCAAGAGACCCCTGGCAATTGAGCGGCCCCAGTTGGCAAGCCAGCCGGCTGAGAGCGCTCCACACGCTAAGATGAGCAGCGATGCACTCTCCGCCCAGTCTGGGAAGGGAGGGGGACGGAGGGAAAAGAGGATGTGACGAAGGAAGGCGAGTAAGAGTGTGCGGGCTGAGAGGTTTCCATGCTGGTGAGCACTCCACACGCTGCTGCTTGTGACCGTTGCTTGCTCTTGTTGTTTCTACAGGACTTCCGTCACCTAGACTATGGGGGTGTGTCAACATATATTTTATATGTGTTGTTTAGGTTAGTCTAGGTGTTACATTTCTACTTACTTGCATGATTAGGGTTTGCTATATCTAGGGTTGTACTTCACATTTTCTATCAATTCATTCTTATCGTAACAGGCCCGGCCCCGGATCTTCTGCGGCCCGGCCCCGGCCCTACCCCGGACCTGTCCCAGTCCTGCCCCGACCCTCCCCCGGCCCTGCCCCGGCCTCACCCTTGGTAAGCGCACCGCCGAGCCGAGCCGCGCTGCCGAGCCGCACCGTTCCACCGAGCCGCGCCGCCCTGTCGAGCCGCCCTACCGAGCCGCGCTGCCCTGCCTAGCCTGCTTAGCTGAGTTGCACTGCTGCTGCTGCTAGCCTGCTGCTGCTCCTGTCATGGCTAGTCTCAGTTTTCTTACTTTTGACGCTGAGGGTCGAGCAGTTGACTTTGAGGTCTGGCTAGATGATCTGCAGCTTTTCCTACAGTGCGATAGCAAGGATGGTCTCTCACTGTTCGATCTCACGTCTGGCGCCTCTACTGCCCCTGCTGCTGATGCTGACAGTACTGTTCGCTCGCAGTGGACCACGCGCGATGCTGCTGCCCGCCTTGCTGTGCGTAGTCACCTACCGTCTACTGAGCGCGCGCACTTTAGTCAGTACAAGAGTGCTAAGACTCTGTACGACGCTGTAGTTGCACGCTACTCCTCCCCTGCCACGGCTGCCCTCAGCCGCCTCATGCTGCCGTACCTGTTTCCTGACCTTGCAGCCTTTGCCACAGTTGCTGACCTGGTTGCTCACCTTCGCACCAGTGACGCCCGCTACCGCGCTGCCCTTCCCACTGCGTTCCTTCCCACGAACTCCCCCCCCATGTACATCACCCTTTACTACCTAGTCACCCGCCTCCTTGACTCTCTCTCTTCAGTCAGGGACCACTTTCTCTCCCTTTGCCCCACCGAGCTGACTGTCGACTTGCTAGAGGAGTGCCTTGCTGCAGCTAAGAAGAGTATCTTAGCTGTCGGTGCTTCTCGCGGCGACCGTCGCACCCCCTTCTTTGAGGGGTGTTCCCCTGTCCCCCTTCTCCCCTCTGTTGCCTCTGCTGCTGCTGTCGACCTCGCTGGCACTGAGGAGGTCGGCGCTGCGTCTGCCTCTAGTGGGCGACGCCGCACCGGCAAGGGCAAGGGAAGCAGGGGTGGTGGTGGGGGCGGTGGGGGAAGCGGTGGAGGAGGTGGAGGAGGTGGAGGTGGTGGTGGGGGTGGTACCGGGAGTGGGGGCGTCGGTGGCGGCAGTGGAGGCCGTGGCGGCGGTGGCGGAGGAGGTGGAGGCGGCGGCAGCGGTGGTGGAGGTAGCGGAGGAGGTGGTGCTGGTCGCGGTGCAGCCACGCAGCGTGGAGGCCTTGATGGCAGCCAGCGCCAGCAGAAGCTACGCACACGTGAGACCCCGTCGGTTCAGCAGCTTCGTGAGTGGTACGCTGGGCGTGGGAGGTCAGGGGGTGCGGATCCCTGCTCTTACGTTCTTCGCACCGGCACTCGGAGTGGGGAGGTGTGTGGTCTCCCACACACCACGCAGCGCTGCTTCGGTCGCTTGACTGACGCTTGGCGTGCCCAGTTTCCTGACGCCGTTGAGCTTCCTCGTTGGCATGATCTGCTTCTGCAGAATGTGCCTATCTTTGATCTAGACTTTGATGCTATCCTTGCTGCCATGTATGCTCTTGCTGATATTACTGAGGGTGACTGTTACCTGAGTGTCCCGCCCGACCCGGGCACTGTGGCTGCTGCTCTAGGTGCTAGTGCGGCTGCTGCTCTAGGTGCTAGTGCGTCTGCTGCTCCAGGTGCTGGTACGTCTCCTCTCTCTGGTACTGCACCTACTGAGTCCTTTCACACTTTCACGCTTGACTCTGGTGCTTCGCGCTCTTTCTTTAGAGACAGCACCACGCTCACGCCGCTCAGTCGGCCTGTTGCGGTCTCCCTTGCTGACCCCTCCGGGGGCCCAGTCCTGGCACACTCCTCCACGGTTCTACCGTGTCCGGCGGCCCCGTCGGGCTTGCTGTCGGGACTCCACCTCCCCTCGTTCTCTACGAACTTGGTGAGTGGAGCTGACCTCCAGGACGCGTGGGTTGACCAGTTCACCCCTGGAGGTCAGCGTGTGACCCACTGCACTTGCTCTCGGACGGGCCGCCACCTGGCCACGTTCACCCGTCGGCCAGGGTCGAGTCTGTACACACTGACTACTGCGCCTCCTCCGGTCCCTGTGTCTGGTCAGGTGGCTGCGTCCAGTCAGGTGTTTGCTGCCGCGTCCAAGTCTAGTCCTGCGTCTGCCCCCTGCTCGTGTCGTCCTCTGGCACACGAAACTCTCCTTTGGCACCACCGCCTTGGTCACCCCTCCCTGCCTCGTCTTCGAGGTATGGCCTCCCGTGCTCTTGTCTCTGGACTCCCCAGGTCCCTCCCTCCCCTTCCTCCGGGGCCTGCCCCCACCTGTGTTCCTTATGTCGAGGGCCGGCAGCGCGCCGCTCCTCACTCCTCCTCGTTTCCTCCGACTGAGGCCCCTCTGCAGACTCTTCACATGGACGTGTGGGGCCCAGCCCGCGTCCGTGGACAGGGTCACGAGCGTTACTTCCTGCTGGTCGTTGACGACTACTCGCGTTACACCACAGTCTTCCCTTTGCGCAGCAAGGGTGAGGTCCCTGAGGTGTTGATCGACTCGATCCGCGGTGCTCGTCGCCAGCTTAGTGAGAGTTTCGGCTCAGACCTTCCTGTTCTGCGTCTGCACTCAGACAGAGGCGGGGAGTTTTCCTCCGACCTCCTGAGAGCCTTCTGTCGTTCGGAGGGCATCCGCCAGACGTTCACGCTTCCGGCCTCCCCGCAGCAAAATGGGATTGCTGAGCGCCGCATTGGCATGGTCATGGACGTCGCTCGTACGTCCATGATCCATGCGGCTGCTCCCCATTTTCTGTGGCCGTTCGCGGTTCAGTACGCTGCGCATCAGATCAACCTTCAGCCTCGCGTCTCCTTGCCGGAGACCACACCTACACTGAGGTGGACGGGGAAGGTTGGCGATGCGTCAGCGTTCCGAGTCTGGGGATCTCGAGCTTTTGTCCGCGATACTACAGCGGACAAGCTGTCCTCCCATGCCGTTCCCTGTGTCTTCCTTGGCTTCCCTCCTGACGCACCCAGGTGGCAGTTCTACCACCCCACCTCGCGTCGTGTTCTGTCCTCTTAGGACGTCTCGTTCGACGAGTCGGTGTCGTACTACCGTCTCTTTCCCTACCGCACTGCCTCTCCCCCCCCCCCCGCCACTCTTCCTGGCACCAGGTACTCCCCTGGTAGACCCCCTCCCCCCCCAGGGTCCTGCCCCCTCAGGTGTGTCCCAGGTAGACCCTGCCGAGCCGGTCGAGGTAGCTGTCGACTCAGGTGCTGCTAGGGGTGCTGACCCTGCGGGTGCGAGGACTGGGGGTGCTGAGTCTGGGGGTGCTGAGACTGGGGGTACTGACTCTGGGGGTGCTCAGACTGGGTGTGCTGAGCCTGGGGGTGTGGCGCCTGAGGGTACTGTGTCTGGAGGTGCTGAGCCTGCGCGTGCTGAGTCAGGAGGTGCTCCAGGTGTCCCATCGCGGCGGGAGCCCCTCTCTCCACAGCGGCTTCGTGAGTGGTACTCTCGGCGCTGTCGAGTTGCTGCTGGAGGTGGTGCTGGTGCTGGAGCTGCTGGAGGTGCTGCTGGTGCTGGAGCTGCTGGAGGTGCTGGAGGTGCTACTGGAGCTACTGGAGGTGCTGGTGCTGCTGGAGGCTGTGCTGGTGCTGGAGCTGCTGGAGGTGCTGCTGGTGCTGGACCTGCTGGAGGTGCTGGAGGTGCTACTAGGGCTACTGGGGGTGCTTGCGCTGTTGGAGGTGGTGCTGGTACAAGAACAAGACAAATCTCAGGGTGGAGCTCAAAGTCACCACACACTCCGAGAGCAAGCAAGGGGCCACAAGGCCAGTCCACATGCAGGTATATAGCAAATATAAAGAGATGCAAGAGTACAAGACATGCAGGACAAGGCATCTCTAAGCAAGCAAGTGAGGACGGGCAGGCACAAGGCCAAGCTGGGTGCAGAAACGCTGGTGGTCACAAGGCGGCAACGCCTTGGTGAAGATATCTGCCGTGTTGGCCTCAGAGACCACACGTCGAACGAGTGCCTGTCCACGCTGCTGCAACTCACGCAGAAGGAAGTAACGAAGCTGGATGTGCTTCGCCTTCCCAACCAGTCGGGGCTCCTCACACAACAGGACAGCAGACCTGTTGTCGACGAACAAGACTGGGGGAGAGCGAGGCCGCTCACCAAGGTCGGTGAGAAGGAAAGACAGCCAGCGAAGCTCCTGAGCGGCCATGGCCGCAGCGTACACCTCTGCCTCACAGCTGGAACCGGCGACGGACGACGCCCGAGTCGACCGCCACGAAACAGCACCTGCCCCGAGGCTAAAGGAGTACCCCTGTGTAGACCGACGCGTCTCCGCGTCGTCGGCCCACGACGAGTCCGGATAACCTGTGAGTGTAACTGGCTGCTTCCCTCCAAGGACAAGTCCCATGCCTGATGTACTCGCCACATACTTCGCCACCCTCTTAGCAGCGTACCAGTGGGAAGGTCGGTGTCTCCCAGGCGCAACAAAGCGCGCAAGGACGCTAAGAGGGTAAGCTAGGTCTGGGCGAGTACAGGTCATCAGGTACATGAGACAACCCACCAGCTCAGGATATGGACCACTGGACTCAAATGACTCGTCCGAAGGTGGAGCCGTGAGCCCATGATCCACACCAAGAGGGGTGAGCTGTACCTTGGAGAACGGGAAGCGAAACCGCGTGAGGATCTGCTCGACCATATGCGACTGAGTCAGCGTAATGGTGCGAGCTGC